ACCTTATTATTATCACCAGGCGGGAGGCATTTTTTTTTTTATTTGGTAGGATGTACTTTTTAAGAACAAATCATACTGAGGATAGCTGAAGGTAAGCATCCACGATTTTGGGCTGGAAATATATTTTATTGCATGTTATCATATTCTTATACTCTCCCTCTCTGTCTCATCTTTCTCTCTCTTCTCACCACACACACACACAACACAGCACAGCACAACGAGTGTGTTTTCTCTCTGGGTTTTTCCAGTTCGTTTCTCTCTATTGGTGACGCTTAAGAGGAAATTTTGATTAGATCAGAGCTGTCTTCTTGTGAATGATGGACAATGCCGGACTGTAACTGTAAAATACTGAACATCTGTTCTCTCGAAGTCCAGACCAACCCAGACAACAGGAGAGCCATGGAAACTAAAATAATCATACAGACAGAAACCATTATAATTCATCAAGTTAATCAACACCTAAAAAAGAGTGCCTCCTTACTGGAAGATTAAGAGACATCTTTGCCTGCATGGAAAGAGTCAAGAAATATCTAATAAAATGATGTGTACCAAGGATTATCTTTCATTATTACGAATACAATATTGATTATACAGTCAATATTTTTATTTAGTCATAAAACACTTGGCCCCTTAAGGGATAGATTGACATAAAAATCAAATGTTGTTTGACATTTGTGTGAATCACTCAAATAATTCATCGATAATATACGCATCTCATTACTCTCTCAGAGAGATGCTGTCTATGGTTTGATAGTCGACAGTATCATAAGTCTAATACATTGGTTTTTATCTAAGTTGATTAATTTTTGTTGCCTATTATTTCTCGATTTCAGTTCCTAAAATTGTTAATAAAACGATAATGTGTCTTCAAATGTATTTTTCGTCTGATCAAGACCCGAAATAATCCCCGATTAACTGTCATAGAAAGCAAAAAAACACAACATCAAATTTGAGAATCAGAACCAGTGTAGTTTCTTTTTCTTATTTACTTTCTCTTAAATTAGATAATAAAATAATAAAATAAAAATAATTAATTACTGCTACTATATATATACTCATATATGATAAAAGTACATTAAATATTATAAAAAAAATAATAACATACTACTACTATTATGAGCAGTAGCAGCAGAAGTGGTATCCTTGTAACTGTTGCCATTATTTTTATCAGTTTACACATTTAAGTGACTCTTTCTTCAAAACCTACTATACATCCTCACATATGATAAAAGTACATTACATATAAAATGAATATTATACTAGTATTATTATGAGTAGTAGTAGCAGCAGTGGTATCACTGCAACTGTTGCTGGTGTTTCCATGATGCTGTGCAATGTGTCCTAACATTATGCTGAAACAAAATGAGTTTTCCCATCTCCCGGCGGAAGTGGCTTTAGTGGAAGCGCTGGTGGACTGAACAGCTAGCTGGCTAGGGCGTTGCTAGCGGCAGAAAGTGGGATTTTGGGTGGCTTTCCGCAAGTTATATTCGCGTACAAATAACGCCTTGCGTTGGAAAAACCAGAGTTTGCCGTTCGCTAAAAGTTAAAAGCGCCTCGGTGTGTTTTTTGTCGTTGTTTACAGAGGACTGGTGTTACTTTCTGTCCCGTTAGCTGGCCGCAGAGCTAGCCTGCTTCCATCCACGGGAATTCTGCCGAGAAACGACTGAATTCTGGAAACATGGAGTCAAGGAGCGTTGCGCTGTGCTAACCGACTTCACTGGACTCTTTTCCTCAAGGAGACT